AAATAGGTGCTAATGTAGGTCTTTTGTAGGTGCTAAGACTCCACAGCACTTAACAATAACAACAACAATGTAGACATAAAGTAAACTTTCAAAGGCGGGAGATACCTGTATTTGAAGGCCCTTGGTCGCCAGTGGCTGCTAACAGGAAGGTAAAGGCTGTCTGCTCCTGTGAAGATTGACAGTCTCAGAAACCCTACACAGGGTCTCTACCAAACAGAATCTACTCAATGGCAGTGGATTTGGTATTCACTGGTTTTAGATCTTGGTCAGGGGTGAGGCACGGGGCAAGGTCAATCATGAGATTGAAGCTGCCAGTTAATGTTTATTTGCTTGTTTTGAAGGGAGGCATTGGGGGGAGAAGTGATATGAAGAGGCACAGAGGGGGCTGCAGCTGGCTGCAGCTGGGCTGGGAGGAGGAAGCTGGGGGAGACATGAAGTCAGTGTGGGGCTGGGCCCAGGCCAAGTGCTCAGTCTCTCTCTGTCTTCTCTTTCTCCCCACCAGCAGGGACAGAACCCAGGAGAGCCCTGTTCCCAGCCTTTAAAAAAAGCCCATGTTGGAGAACTCGCCACCTCTTGCCATTGCCCACCTTTTAATACCTCAAAGGATCTAGCATGGCAGCAGCAAGGTGGAGACTGAGAGTTGACACTGCCCACTAGGGGCTGGAGAGGAGGAACAAAGAGGAGGAAACAAGACAGTAGCAGTTGGGAAGACTGTGGGGGTGGGGGCCCTTCCTTTCACCAGTTCCCTCCCTTTTCATCCCAATACCCAGTGTGCTCCACACAGGGTGAACCCTCAGGATCAGGGCAGTTCTGGCTCAGGGAGTCACGGAGGCTACTTCTTCTCCACCTATACTGGCTTCCTCCTCACCACCTCTCAGCAGCTCAGCAGTTCTGGGGCCCCATGAAAGGCCTGTGAAATGGCACTTCCTTTGCCTCTGCTTATTTCTCATGAGTCTATACACAAATGCTACCCTCCCAATCTTGCCTTACCACCTGAAAAGACCTAGAGAGAGACCCAGAGCAGCTCTGCCCCTTAGCCCCACCCCAGGTCTGAGGGGGTTTCCACTAGGGAAAAAAACATCAGGGAGGAAACTCCGGTATCTATTTTCCAGTTAGTGGGTCAGAACTGGAGTAGGGGCCAGGGTGCTCCCCTACCTAACAGCCCCTGGCAAAATCCCCAGCACTCTGCTCTTGTCTCAAATCTCTCAACATACAACCACCACCCTTGTGCTTTGGGGAATGGACCACAGTTCCTGCCCCTGGACAAAAATTTACAGCAAATACTCAGAGCTGTCAGATCAAGGGTGAGATAGGAGGGCCCAGAGTAGGGGGCACTGCTGTGGAAGCCTCCGGGACAGTCACAGTATCAGTATTCACTATACCCCTTCGAGGTATTGATACACAATTCAATGGTGAAACTGAGCCCAAAGAGACTAAATTAATCAGGGTTATTGATTCTGAGAGTTGGTAGCAAATCCAGGACAAGGGCTTAAAGTCACCTCCACAAAGGAGTGAAGATGGAGATTGTTACTCCCACTCAGGAATAGTCCACCATCTCTCTTACCTCAGTTACCACACTTTATGCCTTTAAGAATAATGAAAATAGGTCAAAGGGGTCAAGTTCATGTCTGAGCCCTTTTTGCTCCTAAGTTCCCAGGCCCTCAGATCTAGCCCATCCTGGGGCTAGAACTGACTACTGAATAGACAGTCACACTGCCCAGCTGAGGAGCTCCTCCTCTGGTTTCTAGCTCTTGGGAAGATGTCCTCCCCAAATATGAGATGAGGGCAAAAGAGGAAGCTGGACTCTGGACAGGAAAACCAATTTGGTCTGGGGAGGTGCCCTAGGTTGTGTCTTTAGTTTTCTTCCCTGTCCCTTCTCACAGACCCCATTAACAGCCTTCTGTCTGGGTCAGAGGTCCCCTACCCCCAACCCTTTTTCAGGTGAATGAATATTCCTTTATTTTATATACCAAAATGAAATCAGCTGCCATCCAGTAGATTCCAATTTACGGTGACCAAGTATGTATCAGAGTAGAACTGTGCTCCAAAATGAAAAGGTTTTCTTTCTTTAAATTTTATTTATTTTGCTGTTATTGTTGATGCTATTCACAGAAAAACATAATGCACCAATTCAATAGTTTCTACACGTACCATTTAGTGACACTGCGTTATTCCTCCCCCATTAACTCAGATTCACTGCCAGGACACTCTCTTCCTCCCAGTTCCCCTGCCACCACCATAACCTCTTATCTCTTAATGGCTCATGAGCCCCTAAAAGCGTACATCAGTTATTTCTACATTAACATTTTGCCATAAGCAACCCTCTATGTCCCAGATTTCCAATCAGGATCTGTAGCAACTTCACATCAGTCACTTTTCATGCCATGACCTTGACAGTATTTCTTTAGTCAAGTCCTCAATAGCTAATCTTGTAGGTTGTAGCCAAACTGCCCACTCCCACCTCCTCAGTGATATTGTCCCAATTATGTTCTCCCACACACACACCCCTTGTCATATTTTTCCAGCATTGATTTTCTTGCAAACTTAGCTCAAAACTTCTCTCAGATCTTGACTGGGAGAACCATCTCATCTATCCTACCTTTACCCTCAGAACCCTGTGAGCTGCTCAGTTATGTAAAATGCTGAATTCATGGATGTCAAAACTCTGGGTTGGTGTTTTGTTTTTATTTTTTTATTGAACCCTGATGCACATCATGTCCTGGGCTGGGATTAATGCGAGGCCAGCCCAGTCGCCAAACTCCCTGTGCCTCCGAGAAATGAGAGTACAAGAAACAGGTGGGTGGAAGGGCAGGCCTGAAAGGAGGAATAATTCATGGGACTGGAACTGTGAGAAGGGAAGAGGGTGAGATGGGGAGTACCTGGGAACCCAGAAAAGTAGTATCTGTTCCCCTCCACCTTTCTCTTTTCTGGTAGATAGGAGGAAAGCCTACTGAAGACGCCAGAAAGAAGCATGAACTCTTAGCATATATCCCAAAGGCTTGAGAAGAAGCTCTCGAATGGGAACAAAAAGAGCTTACAGAGCCAGGCTAGGCTAAAATTACACTTGGAAGAAATTCATGAAAAAGTGGGAGTAGAGTCCTAGGTGATAGGGGAATACTGAGAATGCCTGAAGGTAGCAATAGGGGTCAGCGGAACTCCGCAGGGCTTCCTGGTCACAAGGCTCTGCAACAAACCACAGCAGAGTACTGGGTCTAGGCAGGCCCCAGAAATCAAGAGGGAGGAGAGGCAGATAGATACCTTTGCCTCACATTCCTCTTCTCCTAAAGTGAAACTAAAACATTTAAGGCTAAAGTCTGCCCAGCTTTAATTTCCCTTTAGAATCCTAAATTCCTTCTATCACACCTAGCTAACCTGGTCCCATTCTCCCCTACAAGGTAGAATCAGGAGGCACTAGGGTCAAAGACAGCATCTCCTGGGAGATTGTCCCCCAACCTTCAGGATTGGCTTCTCGGCCAAGCATCTAAGGGTCTGGGTGATTTTTCTTTGCTATGGTCTCTCTCACACCAGTCTTAATCCTGTGTCACTCTACTCTGACTGCTAAGGACTGCTTTCTCCTGCCTAACCACAAGCTCATTCACAGCGGATTCCTTTCATTTTGCTGGCTTCCTTTGCTTTGGGCCCTCTCAAGACTGTGAGCAGTTATTTGATTGTCTCCAAGATAAAGATATTGACAGACATTTGCACAAGCCCACATGCACACACACACACACACACACACACACACACAGGACTTCCAACCATTTAATCTCCATCACTAAGAGGTTGCAGCAAGCCACTAGGGGCTTGGGAGGTTTGGAAAGGCTCTCAAATGCATCATGTCTTCTACAGAAGATCCTGACTCCAAAGTTGGAGATAAGCAGCTAAAAGGAAAGGAGATGGAGGGTGACAGGTTGAAGGACCATGAGAATGAGGGGAGAGGAAAGGAGCAAGATGGTGGTGGATTTCTGTTCAGGAGCCAGACGCTGGGCAGGTAAAGAAGGAAGGGAAGGAGAAGGCAGCAGGGGACTGAGATGAGCAGAATAGAGGTCAGGATTGTGTTTTGGGGCAGGGAGACTGAAGGGGATGAGAAATGAGAGTGATGGAAGGTTTATGGGTTGAGGCTAAAAGGACTGGAAGGAGACAGAAAGCAAACAGGGACTTAGAATATGGGCCAAGAGTAGAAGATGGCTCCCAATTGTTCCCAGAATGCTGGAGACCCTGATGTCTTTCAAAAGTCCTATTATTTCCATTTCCTGAAATCAGTCCTGCTCACAGTTATTCCATCTTGTCCAACTGTCACCATATCTGAATCTTTTCACCTTCAGTCACAGAACAAAATCAGGCCTTTTCCTTTCTCCCTTTACCCACCATTGAGCAGAGCCAGACACTGGTTAGCACGGCACAGCAGAAGTTTGCTCACTAATTACCTGTTGCTTGGCTCCAGGGAAGAAATTGGGTCTCAAAGAAGGACTAGGGTCTGGGGGATCTTTCAGCTGCAGGGAGTGTGGGTATGGGGTGTCCAGGGAGAGTGCTATTACTCTGCATTCTCCGGGATTCACCGGCCTCAGACACCAGCCCCCCTCTCAACTTCACAAATGTCACAACTGCCCCAGTAGAAAGGACACCTTCTTCAACTTCAGAGACCCTCCCCTGAAAACTATCGTAAGCACCCCAGCTCTCAGCCCCACAGTCTAGTTCTGAGTTCTTCCACTTCAGACTTCTCCACCGTAGCGGTAGGCATGCCGGCCTTTGGGGGCCCTCCCGGCCCCCAGGAGCTGGTACAGTTGCTGGGAATCCACCCTCACCGAACCGCGCTGGCTCGAGGTAGCTCCGTCCCCGCCCTGCCCAGGCGGCCGCGCCCGCCCAACTTGAAGGGAGCTGAGAACCTCCCGACCGCGGCCGCCCGCGAGCAAACTTCCTGACCGGCTCCCCCGCCTGGTCCGGGACTGGCCGGGCTCCCCTCCCGGGTCCCCTGCCCGCTGGTCTGGGCCCGGTCTCACCTGGTGCCCTCCCCACGACGGGGGAGCTGGGGGCGGCGGCAGCAGCTCCGGGCTTCAGAAGGAAGTGAGAGCAGGAGGCCGGAGGAAGTGGGGGGGTGGGGGCCCGCGCCGGCCGGGGCGGGGCGCGGGGGCGGGGCACAACCAGGAAGTCTGCCACCCGACTCCCCTTCTCCTCCTCCCCCCGCTTTGCTCCCCTGTCCTCAGCCTTGCCCCTACCTCTGTGCGAGTCTCCCCGCCCTTCCCTGGGCCATCTGCTTGGAACCTCTTGACCAACCCTTCCAGAGTCTGGCCTCTCCACTTCCTTGGTCCCCGTCCCAGCAGAGGCCGAGGCCTAGGCGCAAGGCGTTTGTCCCCCTTCCCAGCATCTCGTCCTTCCCATCCTCCGCAGGAAGATGCTGTGAAAAGGCGCCCTTTAAGCCTGGTGCCTTCTGCAAACCCAGGGATCGAACGTTGGACTCGGCTGGGGAATGGCCAGAATGGGTCAGGCTGGGCCAGTCCCCACCCTTGCCCCGAGCCCCGGGGGGAATGCGGGGTGGTGGTGATTCAGCAGTGGGAAGGCCCCAGGCCCCTGGGGGGTGGGGAAACTGGGGAAGGGGAGCTGGCGTCAGCACCCGTGGAACGACAGATCAGCAAAGGCGCAGGCGGAGTCGCGGGCCCCAAAAACAGGATGTCGCGTCTTGGTTCCGCACCCGGCGGCTCAGCGCGGCGCTGGGGGTGGGGCGAGGCGGACCGAGGACGTGGGGCTCCCCTAGTTCCATCTTCTAGCCGGGGCGCGAAGCTGCTTGAGGCTGAAGGGCCGCACCCAGGGCAGGGCCTAAGGTCTAGTCTGGGCCTGGGGCACAGACGGGTAGGCGGACTCACCGGCGCCCTCTGGCGCTTCTGCTCCCACGCCTTGCGCGTGGAGCTGGCTTGGGAAGAGATATCCTTGGTTTAAAACAATCTTTCCAACTATGTGCAGAGCCGCGTGATTGTTAAGTGCCTTCGAGTCGCTTCCGATTTATAGCGACCCTGTATAGGGTTTCCGAGGGCTTAAATCTTCACAGGAGCTGAAAGCCTCATTTTTCTCCCACGGAGCGGCTGCCGGGCTCGAACCTAGGACCGTGTCGTTTATAATCAGTGGAGAAAAACTCACAGGCGTTTTAAGACCCGCTTCTGTCATCAAGTGGCTTTCCACAAAAAAAAAAAAAGGAGGATCGACACCGGGGATAAATAGCTTGACCTTTCTGAGTTTCAGTTTGTTCTTTGGTAAAAATAAAATGATCTCCCATTTGCCAGTTAGTTGTAAAGATGAAATAAGAACAGATACAAAGGCTTGCTATTAGTGCCTGAAGGCGAGCTGGTAGTGTAGTGGTTGTGAATCGGGCTGCTAACCGCCGGGTCAGCAGTTCGAAACTACCAGCCGTTCTGCAGAAGAAAGATGAGGCTTTTTGCTCCCGTAAAGGTTTACAGCCTCGGGAACCCTGTATATTGGACTCCACTGCACATAACCACCACTACCATTAGTCCTGACTCTCAGAGTAAATGCTCACCAACTACGAGTACCTCTTTTTCTTTTAAAATCATACTATAAAAGGCGAGTTTCCTAAATACAATGTTCCTGCCCATATCTTGGGATTTTTGTGCATTCTGTTCCCACTGCCTGACTTCTTTCCTGCATAGTCTACCGAAAGAAATCGGCTCATTTTCTCACAGTCTGGCCCTAATAAACTATTCCTTGCCTGCCTATAGCTTCCCTCCCTCCAGCACACACCCATCCACCTCTGCCATGCGCTTGCTAATTTCTCCCAGTGCTGCCCAAAGAAACAGAATGTGAGCCACATATGTAATTAAAATTTTTCTAATAATGACATTTGCCAAAAAGTAAAAAAGAAACAGGTAAATTTCATTCTAAGAACATACTTTAACACAATATATAAAAAATACTAGCATTTAACTTTAATCCATATGAAAAAATCACAAATTAGAAGTACTAAGTCTTTGAAATCTAGTGTGTATTTTATACTTACCCCCCAAAACCAAACCTACTGCCAATGAATCGATTCTGACTCATAACAGCCCTATCCCACCTAGCGGTTAGCAGCCCAAAGTCTAACCTACAGCGCTACTAGGGTTCCTTGCAGTAAGTCTCAATTTGGACTAGCCACATTTCAAACGCTCAGCAGCACATGGTGTCTGGTGGTTATCTGACACGGAAGTAAGAAGTGCTATCAGATTCAGACTAGTAAGTGAGTGGATGGATTCATTCACCAAAATTCTCCTCCATGGGAAGAAGCTTCCCCTGTCTTCCCAGGCAGAGTTTGGGGCTCTCTCTTTGCAAAGGAGAGAACAGGAGAAACGGGGAAATCTTATTCCCCACCATATCTTAGTGGGAGTACACAGAGATATAGCTAGGGTATAGCAGCTCTGGCATGTATCCTGGGCGACTTTGAAGGGGATGGTGGTGGTGACAATGAGCATTTTCTACTGCCATTGCAGTTTCCATCACCAGCTGTGAAAAATCCCGAATGAGGTTTGTTTTGATCTCATTTATATACTGGTATTAAGGAGCTCTGGTAGCGTAGTGGTTACAAATTGGGCTGCGAATCTTAAGGTCAGCAGTTTGAGACTACCAGCTGTTCCACGGGAGAAAGATGAGGCTTTCCGCTCCGGTAAAGATTTACAACTCGACGGCACTTAACAACAACAACAACATTCTAGGATCACTATGAGTTGAAGTTTGTTTCACAGCAATGGGTTTGGTTTATTCTGGGTAAAGGACTGTGTGTGGGTGGTATAAATACTTTGCTCTCAGCTATTAACCTAAAGGTTGATGATTGGACTCAACCAGCGGTGCCCTGGAGAAAGGCCTGGCATGCTGCTTCCTTAAAGATTAGTCAAGAAACCCTATGGAGCAATTCTACTCAAAAGGTGGACATGAGTCAGAATCAATTTGATGACAATGGATTTGGTTCTAGCTAGGTTGTTGTTGATGCTGTTAGGTGCCATTGTCTCGGTACTGACTCATAGCGACCCTATGCACAGCAGAACAAAACACTACCCGATCCTGTGCCAACCTCACTACTGTTGCCACGCTTGAATCATCGATGCTGCCACTTGGCCAATCCATCTCGTTGGGGGTCTTCCTCTTTTTCTCTGACCCTCCATCTTACCAAACATGATATCCTTCTCCAGCAACTGTTCCCTCCTGACAATATGTCCGAAGTATGAGAGACGAAGTTTGGCCATCCTGGCCTCCAAGGAGCACTCTGGCTGCACTTCTTCCAACACGGATCTGTTGGTTCTTTTGGCAGACCATGGCACTTTCAATATTCTCCAACACCATAACTCAAATGCATCAATTTTTCTATGGTCTTCCTTATTTATTGTCCAGCCTTCACATGCATATGAGGTTATTGAAAATACCACGGCTTGGGTCAAGCGCACCTTAGTCCTCAAGCTGACATCTTTGCTCTTCAACAGTTTAAAAAACTCTTGTGCAGCAGATTTGCCTAATGCAATATGCTGTTTGATTTCTTGACTGCTGCTTCCATGAGTGTTGATGGTTGATCCAAGAAGAATGAAGTCCTTGACAACTTCAATCTTCTCTCCATTGATAAGAATGTTTATTGGTCCAGTGGTGAGGATTTTTGTTTTCTTTACATTGAGGTAATTCATACCGAAGGCTGTGCTCTTTGATCTTCATCTAGCTAGATAAAGACCTCATTAAAAAACAGCAACAACAAAAACAACACTATCTGTAAAAGACATTGAATAAAATAAATTTTAGGGCATATTGGTAAGGGTGGGGGAGAAAGATGAGGCTTTTTACTCCCATAAAGATTTACACCACCACTCGACTGCTAATTTGTTGTAGTGTGCTGGCTTGTGTGTTGCTGTGATGCTGGAAGCTATAGCAGAGGTATTGTAACTACCAGCAGGGTTGCCCATGGAGGACAGGTTTCAGTTGAGTTTCCTGACTAAAACAGACTAGGAAGAAGGAGAGTTTACTTCCAAATGTTTAGCCACTGATAACCTTATGAATAGCAGTAGAACATGGTCAGATGGCATCTGTATATTGAATATTGCAGTATTATTAATCGATCAAGAATATTGTCAGAAACAGTGCTGAAATTATCCCTTTAGGTTAGAAGGCACTCAAAAGATAACTAGGAAAGAATTGCCTCCTCGAAGTTCACTTGACTGTGATGATACAAATGGAGTAAAACTTTCAGAACCTTCATTTGCTGTTGGGGCACAACTCTAAATGAGGAGAAACAGCTGTAAACATCCGTTAATAATCAGAACATGAAATGTATGAAGTGTGAATCTAGCAAAATTGGAAGTTGTCAAGAAATGAAATGGACCACATGAAGATTGGTATCTTAGGTATTGGTTGGTTGGTTGTGTGGTGGGGAGTCTGTTCTGACTCATAGTGACCCTGTAGGGGTTTCTGAGCCTGTAAATCTTTATGGGAGCAGAAAGCCTCATCTTTCTCCTGCAGAACAGCTGGTAGTTTCAAACTGCTGACCTTGAGGTTAGCAGCCCAATTCATAACCATTATGCTACCAGAGCTCCTTATTTTAGGCATTAGTGAGTTGAAATGACCTGGTTGGCCATTTTGAATCTTAGAATTTTATGGTTTACTATACCGGGAAAGACAAATTGAAGAGAAATGGTGTCGCAGTCATCATCAAAATAAACATTTCAAGTTCTATCTTGAAGTATAATGCTTTCTGTGACAAGATAATATCTACACATCTACAAGGAAGACCAAGAAGCCTTGGTAGCATAGTGGATTACAAGCTGGGCTGCTAACCTCAAGGTCAGTAGTTTGAATCTACCAGTTGGAGAAAGATGTGGTTTTCTGCTCCCGTAAAGATTTACAGCCTTGGAAACCCAATGTTGTTGTTGTTGTTGTTAAGTGCCGTCAAATCGGTTCCAACCCATAGCGACCCTGTATAGAGTTTCTGAGGAGCAGCTGGTGAGCTTGAACCGCCAACCTTGCAGTTCAAATGGCTTTGCAGTTTAGCGCATTAACCCACAGCGCCACACCAGGACTCCTGGAAACCCAATACAGGGTCGCTATAACTGGGAGCCAACTGGGT